AGAGGGTTATTCCAGTATCGTCATGATGGGAAGGAAGCATTCCAGTGTGCCAGCAGACATTGCTAGAGGAGCTGAGTTTACATCTCGATCTGAAGATGTAGCTTGAGCTTATATGTGAGACCTCAAACCCCACCTCCACATTCTCACACTTTCTCTAACAAGGCCACACCTCCTAATAGTGCCACTGCCTATGGGCCAAGCATCCAAACCCATGAATCAATGAGTACCATATTCTAACCACCACAGGTAGCTTAGCAGGTGTCTGCTGGTGCCTTCTCTTCCCTGGGTTTGTATTCCGTAAACTGGCATGCTCCTTATGTTGGGTCTGAGCTGCGTGGCAGCCGTGCAGTTCTGCTGATCTCAGCTGGCCTGGGCTATGTGATGTTTCAGGATTAGGCTAAGGCTCCATTGGGACAGCCCATGTCCTGCTTGTTCTCATTCCAAGACAGGCACACTCAGCCAGAACCGTCAGGCAGTCACAGGAGTCCAAGGGGTTTCCATATTTAAAGCATCTGAGTCATTATAAGATTGTTCGTTCTTAGTAAATTCTTCATTAAACTTCCAATTAGTTTTCAGTATGAGATTCAATACAGATACAATGTATGATAGATCTGACCTTTCTGAGGCTGTGGCAGTTCATTTTGTCTCTTGTGAAATAGGAGAGGCTTTATTATTAACATTTTCTAGTCCTTGTACTTACAACAGTTTTATAGACTTTCTGACGTGATTAAAGGTCTTTATCATTTTGTTCTTGAGCTTGTCAGTTCAATCCATACCAGAATTCTTTATTTCCCCTAATTTGTCTCATTGGCTCTTTTACTTCCTGCATAATTTTTCTTCTCTTCTTTCTTTTGACAGCCCAAGTGTATCGACAGTCCTGTTTAGCTTGCCTTCGCAGGTGTCCAGGAGAAACCTGGGGGCGTTAGTGCTGGTAAGTTTTTGTCGTATTTTCTTAACAAACGCACCTTGAAGAGATCAAAGAATCCACTGAGTGAGTTAAGGGAAAAGAGAGGGGTGCCAGGCATGCGCAGATGGAAGAGCTTCCTTGGGATTGCTATACTTTATAGAGTTTTTTGCCTTTTAAATTATATAAACTATATATATATATGTGTGTGTGAATTTCTGCCTTGGTTGGACCAAACATAATGGGGGATATTTTATTTAACATCTCACATTCCACAAACTATTTAAAGATATTAATTTACCTAATACTAATAAAATCTTGTGGGCTGCTTTGAGCAGCATTAAATTTAATTTATAGAGGTGAACATGATTAAAGTACATTACACATGTATGGAAATCTCATAATGAAACCCATTATTTTGTACAATGAATGTATGCTAATAAAAATGTCTAGAAATTTAATTTATAAACTTAAAAAATGCTAGAATCAAGAAAGCGGTTCTTCTCTAACTAGTGGCAAAGTGGAGGACTAGCTCCATAGCCCAACTCTGTCAACAGAGGGAACCCATTACTCCTTAATCAAGAGCATGATAACGCCCAAAGGATATTACATAACAACCTCCTCTGAGGGTTCAACTTCAGCACCGACTTGAGTGGATTTGCCATTACTTAGAAGACACACCTCCAGGTATCTCTGTGAGGATCTTTCCAGAAAGATTTTGTCGAGGCAGGAAGACCCACTCTGAATGTGGGCAGCACATCCCATGGAATGGGGGCCTGGAGCAAATAGAAAAGGGGGGAAGTGGGACTGGGAGACGTCTCTGAGGTTGAGAGCACTTGCTGCCCTTCCAGGGAACACAGGTTCAGCCCCCATCACCCACATGCTGGCTCACAACTCTCTGCAACCCCAGCCCCAGGGGATCCAATGTCCTCTTCTGGCCTCTGTGGGCACCAGGCGTGCATGGAGTACACAAACGGACATGCAGGCAAAACATTCATATACTTAAAATAAAATTTAAAAAGCGAGGGCAAAGAAGTCAAAGGTGCTCTGTTTCCTGTCTGGGAGTCAGTGTAACCAGACACACCATGCTCTTGCCTTTCCATAACCTTGGACGGTTTTCCTTCTTAAACCACAAGCTCAAAGAAATCTTTCTTCCCTTATTGATTCTGTCAGGAATCTTGTTACAATAAGAAAAGTACTAATATATATTTTTGTTGCTTTTGGGGGGGTTGTTTTTTGTTTTTTTCTGAGACAGGTGTCTCTGTGTAGCCCTGGCTGTCCTGGAACTCGCTCTGTAAACCAGGCTGGCCTTGAATTCAGAGATCCACCTATCTCTGCCTCTCAAGAGCTGGGATTAAAGGTGTGTGCTGCCGCCGCCACCACCACCACCACCACCACCACCACCCCGCTTAATATACCTCCTTAATAATAAGACCTACAAAGTATTTTGCTTGGAGACTAAAATGTGAAATCATTGGATGAATTCTGGTAAGCAACAGAATGATCTCCAGATGTCAAAGATGCAGCAAATTAAAAAAAAAAAATCTTTTTTTTAGAAGGTGGGACATACTTAGTGGAGCAAGTGTGACAATGATGAAAAGCTGTTAAGGACCCAAGAGTCTTGTATTACACACATCTTTATAATCTATTTTGGGACTACAAAACCTGTGGTGGGGAAGGTGAATATGAGCAAAGTAGGTGACACACGTACTTTGACCTAGCATGTGACACAGTGGATTGTATCATTTTGTGCAATGAATATGTATGTTCATTAAGAGACTTGCTTAAGTACACTAAAATACGTTAGCAGTAGCCATGCAAAGCAGTTGTCAGCTTATTTCCTCAGTGTCCTAACACTATGCTCAAAATATTTTCAAAGAAAAGTAGAGGAGGAGAAATTTTGCCTTAGTAAATGTTTTTGGAGACAGGATTTCCCTGTGGCTTTGAAACTCATAATCCTTTGGATTCAGCCTCCTGTGCCTAGGATAACAGACATGTGCTACCATAGAGAATTCCCAGCAACTTGAAAGGTTCTGTTTGTTTCTTATTTGTTCATGTGCAGATGTGCATGACAGCGCTCAGGCACATGGCATGGTGAACATGTGGAGGTCAGAGAACAGCTTGCTGTGGTCATTTCTCCACTTTTCATGGGTCCCGAGGATTGAGCTCGGGTTGTCAGGCTTTCACCGCAGGGGCCTTCACCCACTGACTCGTCTTGATGACCCCACCTAGTCACTTAACATTTGTATTTTAGATTTATTTATTTTATATGTGTGAGTCCTTTGTCTGCATGATAGTTTCTGAACCATGTTCATGCAGTCCCCATGGAGGTCAGAGGAAGGTGTTGGATTCCCTGGAACTGGACTTACAGGCAGCTGTGTGTACCCACATTGGGGGCTGGGAACTGACTATGGGGCAAGAGCAGGAAATGCTCTTCACCACTAAGCCATCTCTTTAGCATCCCCTTGAAGTAACTTTTCAAAGTGCCCAGATTCTTTTCTCTTTTGGTTTTTGGAGACAGGTTTCTCTGTGTAGCCTTGGTTGTCCTGGACTTTCTGTGTAGACCAGGCTGGACTTGAACTCACAGCGATTTGTCTGCCTTTGATTCCCCTAGTGCTGGGACTAAAGATGTGTGCCACATATACCATGTTCATGTCCAGTGTCCAGGGGAATCAGAGAAGGGCATTGGATTCCTTGGACCCAGATGGAGTTGAAGATGTTTGTTAGCAATGTGTAGAGAAAAAAAGGGGAAGGGAGAGGGAGGAGGGAGAAAGGGGAAGGGGGAGAGGGAAAGGG